ACAGTTATGAATTTGCTAGGCAGGGCTGTACCCCAAATAAAGGGATAGCAGAAGCACTCTGTGTATGCTGGATTTCAAGGCTTCTATTTGGCTAAAAAATCAATAGAAGAAAAGAATATCCTGTTGGCATAATCCAAATAATCCTTTATATTCATTCCATTTCAGACTTGATGAGAGTGGGGAATAACTATATTGGCGATTTGTTTGCAAGTCAGATCTACTACTGCCTTTCACTTTCTGTGACTCTTTTTATGTCCTCATTAAAAAGAGAACTTTCCATTTGAAAAGATAAACAGACTTAAGAAAGATTAGAAGCTCAATTTAAGGTATGCCATTGAATTATTGTATTTTTTAAAGCAAAGCTTTAGGTGATGACATTGTATTGGAGATTCAAGCCTAAAAGTATGTGCAGAAGTGTAACAAAAGTCATGAAATATCTTCAGAAACATCCGAAAATAAGAGAGATATTTGCCCTGGATGTGCTCACCAAGCTGTGCCAAGAAATCTGGAGAACAACCACTTGGCCAACTGACTGGAAGAGATCTATATTTGTTCCCATTCCAAAGAAAGGTGACCCAACTGAGTGTGGAAACTACAGAACAGTGTCATTGATTTCACATGCAAGCAAGATTCTGCTGAAGATCATCCAAAAACGATTAGAACAGCACAACAGCAGAGAACTGTCGGAAGTCCAGGCTGGGTTTAGAAGGGGTCGTGGTACTAGGGATATCGTTGCTGATGTTAGATGGATATTAGCTGAAAGCAGGGAATACCAGAAGAATGTCTATCTGTGTTTCATTGATTATGCAAAGGCATTTGACTGTGTGGATCATAACAAACTGTGGCTGACTCTGAGAAGAATGGGAATCCCAGAACATTTAATTGTGCTAATACGAAACCTATACTTGGACCAAGAGGCAGTAGTCAGAACAGAGCAGGGTAACACTGCATGGTTCAAAATAGGGAAGGGTGTACGCCAGGGATGCATCCTGTCTCCATACCTTTTCAACTTGTATGCAGAGCAGATTATCCAAGAGGCTGGGCTCTATGAGGAGAATTGTGGCATCAGGATTGGTGGAAGATCTATTAACAATCTCCGTTATGCAGATGACACAACCTTGCTTGCTGAAACTGAGGAGGACCTCATGCACTTGCTGCGAAGGGTCAAGGACTGCAGCCTTCAGTATGGACTAAGTCTCAACGTCAAGAAGACAAAGATTCTCGCCACTGGACCAATTGGCAGCGTCAGGATGGATGACGAAGAGATTGAGAGTGTTCACAGCTTCACTTTGCTCGGCTCCACAGTCAACACTCTTGGTATCAGCAGTCAGGAAATCAAAAAGCGTATCGCGATGGGAAAGTCTGCTGTTAGGGACCTCTCAAAGGTACTCAGGAGCAACAGTGTCTCTCTGGAGACTAAGGTGCGCCTGATACAGGTCATGGTATTTGCAATCGCTTGTTATGCATCAGAGAGTTGGACAATGACTAGGGAGGACAGAAGGAGAGTGGATGCTTTTGAGCTGTGGTGCTGGAGAAGGGTACTGAATGTACCATGGACTGCCAGGAAAACAAACAGATTCATCTTGGAGAGGATTTATCCAAGCTGCTCCTTGGAGGCAAGGATTCTGGGGCTTCGTCTGACATACTTTGGACATGTTGCCAGGAGGGACGGGTCCTTGGAGAGGGACATCATGCTTGGGAGGGTGGAGGGACAGCGCAGGAGGGGAAGACCCTCTATGAGATGGATTGATTCGGTGACTGGGGTAATCGGGATGGGTGTGTCAGAGGCGGTGCGGTTGGCACAGGATAGAGCAGGGTTTAGAGCTGTTGTGCATAGGGTCGCTATGAGTCGGAAACGACTCGATGGCACATAACAACAACAACATTTGACCTTCTGTCAAGAGCTTGTATCCAAGTGTTTAACTGAATTATCATCAAATAAGTGTCCCAAATGAAATATCCAGAAGTAGAAATGTATTGTTTCTGGGCCAAATACAAGGCATCTAAAGCACAATTACCACAGGACAACCTACTTTCCAGTAATTTCTGAATCAGTTCCTTATCTGGATTATCACAGCAACAAAAGTCTTCTTCTCTAAAGACTTTCTCTTCAGCCCTGATTTACAGTGTTTTAATGGATTCAAGCACTGAAACCCAAACACATCACTATATATCACTGCTGTTCTCAGATCTGGGGAAATTCCTAGTAAACATTATTCTATGGAGGAGTTATATTTACATTTAAATTCATTTTTGATGCACATAAATCAAAGCTAAGAACATAAATGTAAAATTTAATGATAAGTATAAAGAATAAATGAAATTTTCATTTTACTGCTAATCTAAATTTCTGTACGTGATCAATATATTTAGGTGATACGGAAGTGGTAACCAACTTAATTTAAATGAAGTCATCTTAACAGGCTTATCAAATGGTGAATATTTAATCAAATGAACATTTTTATGAATGCATTTTTTGTATTATTTTTATCTCAATAATTTTAATGAACATTTACAGAGATTTTGGATTTCCATTCATTCATTGCTGCAGTTCTCTCCCCCTCAGCCCCCCACCCCCACCCCATGAAGGCACTTTTAAGACATAACACAAATTACTGTTCTGGGCAGTATAAATTATTTCTTGCTGTACAAAATAGAAATACACAAAACATAGATGTGCATTACTGATAGCTGGCAATTACACTTATATTTGAAGGCATTTTATATTAAATTATATATACTGGGTAAATTTGACATATGCTTTTGTTGTTGTTGTTAGATGTTGTCGAGTATAACTCATAGCAACCCTATGAAAAGCCAATCTGAAACCCGCCCTGTCCTGTGCCATCAACATCATCTCTGACACACTGGAGCCCATTGCTGAAGTCACAGTGTCAGTCCATATTATTAGGGGTCTTCCTCTCCTTTGCTGACCTTCCATATATTTCCAAGCATGACGCCCTTTCCAAGAAATAACCATTTAGTTAACTTTAATTTTTTTCTAGAAAACATGACATATTTGTGTTCATGGTAAAATAATTCTTAATAATCTACTGCTTCAATGTAGTCTTATTGTATTAGTCCTGTATTAGTTAATACAAGTAAGTCACCACTCTAAAATGTTGCTTAAGTTACCACTCTAAAATGTTGCTTTAGACTCCAAAAATTTTTACTAAAGACTATTTTTATAAAATGTCATTGTCTCTAGTCTAGAATTTTGTTTAAAAGAAAGAATATACTTTTAGTGTCATTTTAATACCAAATGAAGTCTTATGTGAACCCAAACTCACTGTTACAAAATTAATTCTGATTATAGTGATTCAGTAGGACAAAATAGAATGATTCCATAAGGTTTTCAAGACTGTAAATAAACATTTATGGAAGGAGATTGTCACAGCTTTCTTCTATGGAGCTATTGATTAGTTTGAACTCCCAGGTAGAAGGTTAGTAGTCAAGTATTTTAACCATTGCATCACCACTTTAGTAATTTTAATGTACCTGAGGTAGCCATTTTGGACTCTGCATGTAGGTCAGGGACTATATGATCTACCAAGTTAAAGCCTTGTAAACAGTTTCCCAGTGCACTGAATAGCCTGAAAGCATCAAGTGTTGCTGTAACTAATTGCGATTTACATTTGACATCATGTTAAGACTATTTAATGCATAAATGTGAACTGAAAACAAAGTAAAACAACCACAGCGTACTTCTCATTAACTTTTATAAACTATGTTTTGTAGATAATTTTCCAGTTTTCCCAAATAATATTTTAAATACATTGGTATGAGGGTAGGGTGTTAATCATAGGGTTGCACAATTCAACAGGTGGGTGGGGCATTGAAGGAAATGCCAAGGATCTTGTGTGAAAACCAATGTATTTGAACTTTGTAAATTAATTAGTATAAAATAAAAAAGACAAAAATTAAATAGATTAGTAGAAATTTATTTTGAGAGATAGTCTAACATATGACCAATATATTACGGTTTTATGAGATAAATCTTTCAATAAAGTTATTGAAATGCAAAGAAAAAACAAACCCAAACAACTGTGACAATGCTATTCGTTTGTTGTGTTTATGTTCCATTAAGTCAGAACAAACTCATAGCTGATCCTGTATCAAGTTTTCAGAAGCAGTGAATCTTAGCAGAGGAAACGTCCCATCTAGGAGAAGCCGGTGAATCTGAACCATATGCCTTTGTATTGGAACTCCTTAACCACTAGGCCCCAAGAGTTTCCCTAGTTAGAATAGTTTTCACATGGATTAATAATGCCATTAACAATATTCTGTATTTTCCTGCTTTCATAACTCTTCTGATTTGGAAGGGACAACATAGATTTTCACTGATATTTCCCAGAATTCCAATTTCAGACATTCTCTTCACAACTGCTTCATCAGTTAAAACTTAACAAATTTATGATACACAGGTTAACCGATCAATCTAGACTTTCCCCCAGAACTTTTGGATCTAACTTTATTTTCATGAATTCCAGTTGACCATTTATTCTAATTAATTAAACATTCCCCAAGAAACTTGACCTCAGAAACTTTAACAACTTTCAAGTTACAACTGCCATATTCCAGCAGTCACTCACTTTGGGCCTTAGTCCCAACCGCCTTAACTCAAAGAAGAAATCGGAAGTAATTTTCGTCATTCCACCTCAGAGGTCACCCGCTTTTCCAGCATTACTGCAAGTCTACCTGGGACCAGAAGGACTGCCAATGGCCTTGGTCCTGCCCATAGCAGCCTCTCAGCCAATGGCCTTTGGTCCTGTTTACGCCCCGCAGCCAATGGCCTTGGCCCTGTCGATGGCCACGCCTCACAGCCTGGCCTAGCGCAGGCGCACTTGTTCACCACCCCCTACAGGAGGTGCCAGGCGCACTTGTTCACCACCCCCTACAGGAGGTGCCACGCGGACTCACTTTCTCTGGAAGTATTGTGGGAAGCGCTGAACAGCAGCGTTCTGAACCCAAAGGCCCTGTGTTTGTCAGGCAAAGTTAACATGTCGGAACAAAGTAAAGACGTGAGAGACCCCAGCTTTTCAGCCGAGTCTTCCCAAGTCGAGGTGGACAGTACCCCTGAGGTTCCGTGGACACTCCCACCTCCAGCCTCTGAGGCCCAGACCATTTCAGAACCACAGAATCTTCCTCTTAGACCACAAGATGCTCAACAGGACACCGCACAGGCCTTCTCGCTGGAGCCCCAGGCCATAAGTGACAAGGGGGCCCCAAAGGACCTGCAGGAGGCGGAGGAAGAAGCACGCCGCCAGGCCCTAAGCGGGCCCTGGCTACCGCCCAGCCACTCGCCGCCAGGCCCTGCGCAGCTGGTGCAGAAGGCCCACGAGCTCATGTGGTACGTGCTGGTGAAGGAGCAGAGGAAGGCGGGCATCTGGTTCCCCGACATGGTCAAGGATGTCATTGGCAGCTACAAGAAGTGGTGCAGGAGCATTCTCAGGCGCACCAGCCTCATCCTCGCCCGCGTGTTCGGGCTCCAACTTCGGCTGACCAGTCTGCACACAATGGAGTTCTCGCTAGTCAGAGCGCTGGAGCCCGAGGAGCTGGACAGGGTGGCGCTGGGCAGCCACATGCCCATGGCAGGCCTTCTTCTGATGATCCTCAGCCTCGTTTACGTGAAAGGGCGCGGGGCTAAAGAGAGTGCGGTGTGGAACGTGCTGCGCATCCTCGGCCTGCGGCCCTGGAAGATGCACCCCACCTTTGGGGAGGTGAGAAAGCTCATTGTGGAGGAGTTCGTGCAGCAGAATTACCTAAAGTACCAGCGCGTGTTGCACGTTGAACCACCAGAGTATGAGTTCTCCTGGGGTTCCCGAGCTAGCCTCGAAATTACGAAGATGCAAATCATGGAATTCCTGGCCAGAGTCTTTAAGAAAGACCCTCAGGCCTGGCCTTCCCGGTACAGAGAAGCTCTGGAGCAGGCCAGAGCCCTGCAGGAGGCAGAGATGGCTGTCCACCACCCCCGCAGCAGCGTTTCCGAGGACGACTAGGTTCGTCTGGCCCTCACCAGTGCTGTGAGTGGTGGGCAGACCATTACAATATTCAGGATATACATTGGAGTATTTCATATGTAACTTTCAGTACAGTGCTTTATACCTTTTAATGCAATGTTGTATTCATCTGGATACTATTTTGGGTCTTTATGAGTCGCAAGCGACTCAACGGCACATAACAACTATTGGCTAGTGTTTAGCGTTGATGCATGTTTTTATTTGTAAGTAAACTCGGTTGGTGCTTTCACTTTTATGCTACCTTTTCTTAGATTTTTGTACCAGAGATGGACACAATTTACTAAGTACTGTGAAATACTTTGCATTGTATTCTTTTATATTATTATTGTTGTTGTCGACGGCACATAACAACAACATTCTTTATATATGGAATGAATGGCGTATGCTGTGTTAGATAACACAAGGAGAGAGTTTGGAAGAACTTTCCAGTATAGCTGGTCAAAGCAAGAGGAAAATCAGTGCCCCTCTCTGCTGGGCACAAGACAGATGTTCATGTGGAATTCAGTGATTTGAACTGAAATAGTTAAGTGTGGGCACTCTTGCACACTTTACCAAACACAAATACAGCCTTACCCAGAGTAAACATTAAAGCTCTTTGTGAAATAGTCATTTTTTTGAAAAGCCTATATATCTTTTTGAACAAAGTAGTATCGGTGATGGACAAAGAATTCTCAATTTTACAAAATGTATGATAAAACTTTTTCAACCAGTCATGAAAAATCACTAATCAATATTCATAAGCGTGTAAAGGTTATAGTTGTTTTTTAATGTAACTCATGTTTATTTCAGTCACTTTGACAGATACAGAAATGTATAAAAGAAGCTAAATTTCTCATATCACACAGAGAAAATAAGAGTAATATCTTCTATATAATTTTCTACATTTTATTAAAATAAATAGCTTTAATAAAATTAATAGCTATTTTTCTTATGGGCTGGGCACTTAAAGAGTGAAGCACTATACTAAACCCTTTGCATGCATTTTCTCCCTTTTTTTAATCACAACAGCCCTACGAGGCAAGCACTTATTCCATCTGTACAATGGAGAAAATTGAGAAGTAAAATGGGTAATTAACTCTCCCTAAATTATAAGCTTACCAACAGTAGGGGTTGGAATTAGAGCTGACACTCTTTCCCTACCTGCTCCCACTTGTTGACATCAGACTCCTGGCTTTTAGTCTCTTTTGCTTTGTTTTTAAACAATGCTGTATTCGAATCCCCTACCTTTTTTTTTAAAATTTTTTTTTTATTTCAGTGAACATCTACAGAGATTTTCCATTCATTCATTGTTGCACTTTTCTCCTCGCCCCCCCCCCTTCACTCCTCTCCTTGAAAGCAAAAGAAAAACTCCTTCATTGGTACACAATCCCACCCCCCCGCACGCCCCCAACCCCCCCAAATAAAATCCACTCTGCAACCCTCATTCCATACTCTTATGATAAACATAATGCCCTAAAATATAATACTTTTAAACTAGAAACCCCTACTTTTAAAACACAAGTATTATGGCCTAGAAATTTTCCAAGTAATTTTCACACTAATAGAAAGCAATATTTGATTTTACAAATTAAGAAACTTGAAAGATTTATAGACCTGACAAAGGGTTTCTCCTTAGTTAGCAGTGAAGCCTAGATTTTAAACACAGTTGATCCTACCTAGAAGATCTTATATTAAAACTTCTCTGACCATGAGGGTGAAGGAGATTCTTAGGACAGGAGAGAGAAAGATAGAAGCTAGAATAGAATGATTACTGGAAATTCTTTACCAACTGTCTTTGCATTGCAGTGGGCTACTAAGATTTTGAAGTTCTGGTATACTTTGGCCTTATTGCTTGGAAAAGGACTCCGTGCTTGGAGAGGTGGAGGGAAAGTACAGGAGAGAAAGACTGGATGAAATGGATTGACACAGTAACTGGAATAATGGGGGCAGTTATGTCAGAGACTGGATCAAAATATAAGAGGGTGCAGAGCTATTTTTCATAGGGTCTCTGTGGGTCATAGTAGACTCAGTGGCACATAACAACAACAATCCACAAGTGGCACTATGGTTAAAGCATTCAACTGCTAGTCAAAGAGTCAGCAGTTTGAGCCCCTCAGCTGCTTAGGAGAAAGGTGAGGGCTGTCTGTTTCCACAGAGACAGCCTCGGGTAGGACTAGTCAGGCCTATAGGTCAGGCAGAGTTGATGGCAGTGGCTTATTTCTTTGGTTTAATAACATACAAAACCTGCCCTATAAAGAGCCTTGGTTGCACAGTGCAGCATGTGTTGGGCTGCAAACCAAAAGATCAATGATTCCAACCCACGTGCTTCTCAAAGGCGGGCTTTCTCATCCTGTAAAGATACATGAAGGAGGAGGGCCATGGATTGGAACCAGCTTGAGAGCTGTGAATTTTTTTTAATTTTTTTATTATTATTATTTTTGTGTCAAATCAGATCTGACTGGTACAGGGGGAGATTGTCCCTCCTTCCCCAGCAGAGCATTTGGTGGATTTGAACCATGTGCCTCTGGGATTGTAGTTGCAGCTCCTTGCCACTAGGCCACCAGAGCTCCCCCGAGAGCTGTGAATTTTAATGTGTGTTTTCTGTAATCTCTCAGAGGGTACAACTGGCTGCCACTGAGGAGAAATGACTGAAGAGTTACTCTAAGATTTTCAGTCTTAAAGTGGGGGAGGGTGGGAAAGAGATGTTTTGTAAAAGCAGAATCCCTTTAAATGTCATAGACCAGAAAAGGTACAGCCAGAAAGAAACTTTCCTGGAGAAGACAGGTGATGAGGGGGCTCATGTAGTTTTAGAGTGTCACATCTCCTTAACAACTGGAAGTTATATTTGGGTAAGGGAATTGGGAGATAGGTTTCCTAGTACTTAAGGGCATTACTTCTTGTTGTTGTTGTTAGATGCTTTTGAATCATAGACGACTCATAGTGACCCTATGAACAGAAGACCTGAGCACTGTTCATAGAGTTTCTAGAGGCAAGACATTTCGGAAGTGAACGCCACTCCTGCTCCCAAGCTTGTTTTAATCGGGAAGCTCCACCAAACCCTGTCCACCATGGGTAACCATTATCACACTTGACACATCAGTGTCACAGTGTTTAGTATCACAGCAACCAGGAGTTACCTCTGTACAGCAATGCATAGGCATATATTGTGTCATTGAATCAGAGATGACCTATTGACCTTCCAGCAGATTTTCAGAGGCTGTAAATCTGGAGAGATAAATGTCCATCTTGCTCCCGCAGAGCAGTTGGTAGATTCAAACCATCTGCCTTTGGTTCAGCAGTACAATTGCTTAACATTAATCCATCAGAGCTATTTATATAGGTGCTAAAAATGCTCAAAAAGTCCTACTTTTGCTGAGATGGAATATAAATAGCTTATAAGGTTTCTCATTCATTCCCCCACCAGAGGCACTTTACAGTAACATAGGCTGGGTTGAAAATTTTTTGTTCTCAAAAGTTCATCATGACAGATGGAGGAAAGATTGAAACTGACTTCATCTTACTTGGCACTAGCAGTCAGGAGATCAGAAGATATACTGCCCTGGAAAGTCTGCAGTCAAGGACTTTTCCAAATTACTTAAGAGCAATAATGTTAGTTTGAGGAACTAAGGTACACCTGATTCAGACCATGCATAGCCTTTTCAATCACTCACTGTGCAAACGATGGACAGAAAAAAACACAAACTTTGAGTTGTTTTGGAGGGGAGTACTGAATATCCCATTGATTGCCGAAAAAACAAAGAGATAGGTCTTGGGGAAGGTCAAACCAGTGCACCTTGAAAGCAACAATGGGGAAACTTCATCTCACATAATTTGGGCATGTCACTAGGAGAGGTGATTCCTTGCAGAAGGACATCATGTGTGGGAATGTGTGGGGAGAGTAAAGGAGAGGAGGACCCTCAACTAGGTGAACTGAAATAGTGACTAAAGCAATGGTATTGAGTGTGCAGAGATCTTGAGGATGGCACGTGATAGGACAAGGTTCAGATCTACTGCTGAAAGGGTTGCTCTGAGTGATAATGCACTCAACGGCACTTAACAACAAGGCAAAGTTGACCTGGCTTTGATGACATATCTTACACAAAGCCAATGTGTCATAACTATAAAGTTTCCCTTCCTTTGCTCCCAAATTGTAGTAGAATAAAAATTTATCCCTTCTCAAATTTGTGGGGCTATCCAGGATGTTCTGTTTCTGGAGAAGAAACACAACAGCATGGTGTAGGTCATTTTCTTACAGTTTGACTTCTCCCAAAAACTATAGTTCCTATACACATTTTGACATATATCCAAAAGTTGCCCCTCACCTGTTCCTTCTCTGCTGTAAAAGGCAAGGTGAACTACCTTCACCAAAGCTGATCATAGCTCACAGAAATGAGCACACCAACAATTCCATAGAATGAACCTCTAGAGGACAGGAGTGTGAGAAAAGAGGAGCTGTTTTCAGAAAGTCACACAAGTATGAATGCTCAGCTCCTATACTGTGAAGCAGCTAATATTAGAGGAAGTTGTTGCTGGGTGCAGCTGAATATAATTTGTAGTGACCCTGTGAACAATAGACCTGAACCCTAGACTATCCTGCACTGTCCTCATCATCCTCATACACATGAGGAGTCCATTGCTTCAGTCACTGTGTTAATCCCCCTTGTTGAGGGTCTTTCTTTCACGGACCCTCCACATTTCCAATATGATGTTCCTTCCCAAGGAACAGCCACTCCTAACAACATATTCAAAGTTTTGAGATAAGCTTCACCATCCTGCCTTTAAAGGGCACTCTGGATTAAGGCAAGAGACTTCCTGAATATGGAGCAGGATTAGTTTACGACTTCGGGCACTATAAGGACAGAAACTTGGGGTAATAGGAATATTATTTCCTCTGTATTTTCACTCTGAGCTCTGAATAATATTTGAGGGAGGGTTTGTAAAATAATTTCCAACATGTTCATTAAAGATGCTAGAATTAGTCTTTTTTTGGTAGTTTTTAA